TATCAGATCAAATGAAAATGCCATCGAAACTTTTCTGAAGACAGTCAATTCCCTTCAGAGATACATTCATATAAAACACCCGCGCCATGTTATGATTTTGAAACGTGCAGTGCTCATGTTTATTCAACGAAGTCAAACGCCACAAATAAATCAATGTATGGGAAACTGGTAATGTATATCGAAATATCGGAAATGTGTTTAAAAATCATATCACCGTCATTTAAAAAAATATTGAATTATTGTCCAGCCCTAGGTTCAAGTATAAACAAGCGAAATGTCTCTATAAAACTGTGCTTTTAGGTTTGGGTAGGTTGTCACCAATTCCAATAATTCCAGCACTAGAATATGAAAATACTTAAAATTATGTTTAACAAAACAAATAAGATGTTCATGAACCATAATAAACCTTTGCTTAATGTACATGAGCCAAAAATGATTTAGACAGAACAGAATACTGTATGAACCACACTCTACAAAATAAATAAAAAACAAAACCTCTTTTGTTCCCTACCTGCTCCCTTTTTGTATAACATCACAGATTTGTGGCATTCTGCAAATATTATTCTATAACATTTGTTTTGGATATGATTCACAGTCCTATTTTGTGGCGAATTTGCTGTTGCACAGATCTACAAAAGTCCAACGGACGAATAAATGTTTTACTGTTAACCTCTAATAAATGTAAAGCATTAATCCTAAATAAATACTTATTCTCTCACAAAAGTTGTCTGTCGAACTTTAAAGCATTCGACATGATAACTGTATTCCACCAAAACAAAAGCATATTCGCAACTTTCATTAAAAGTACCGATTTGTAGAAGGAAAACTATGAAAACCTGCCAAAAACGCGGCTGACATCATATTTCCAGAGAAAAGCACATTTCTTGTAAAGGTGCGATCACATGCATCATTGTTGGGCAAATTTTCTTGGGCGAAAATCCAGTCATTTCAATAGGAATCCACATGATTGGGAATTTCACACAAGTTGCGAAAGATTTCCTCACACAGATTTCACAACATATTCGCCACACTGACCAACAGAAAACTGCTTGGTTTGAAAGTGACTTCTAATAGCTGTGCTTCATACATCGCTACACTATTGAAAATAACCTTTTGTTCACGAAATTTTGCTGAAATTTCACCAATGTGACCACACCTTTAAGGCCCTTTCACACAGAACGCGGCAAGCGGTGGAATCGTCGCGCAGCTGCCGCTTTCTCTTGTAGTGGAAGCGTTTTGTGCAGTTGAGGCGGTGGTCACGTTGCGGTCTCAGAGCGGACGTTGCCATAGTTACAATTGTCAACATCACCTTTGTATTTACTAAAAACTAAGTAAAACATGACGGAAACTTGTGTTTGTGTCATTCTGCCATTAATTGTTGTCATTATTTACCTTTTTTCGTTTGGCACAAGTGAAGTTGTTTTTGATGAATTGCTTAAAGAGCGTACCTGTGAGGTCACTATTGAAGTAAAAATTTGAATGAAATATAATTTTATTTATGTCTCTGTATAAGATTTTAGATGGATCACACAGTTCTGGCAAATCTATTACACTTAAAACAATCTTCTCCTCTATTTTTCCAATAGGCAGTTCAGTTAAATGTTCTATGATTGGTTATTAGTAATCTGTACACTGATTGGTTGAAACCAACGCGGCTGCCGCTCACAAAAAGATAAAATATTTTTATCTTTGGCGGCGCCTGCCACGAATCGCCGTGCCCATGGAAGCGGCAGGATTTTGGGTGCACGAGCACCGCTTGCGCTCCGCCTCCGCGCTGCTAGCGAAACCGCCAGCGTTTTGCCGCTTTCCGCATGTCTCCCATTGAGAATGAACTAGACACTAGCGACTGCCGCGTACCGTGTGAAAGGGCCTTTACACTACAGCAAAACTATTGATGAATGAAGCACATTATTGCAACATCCAATCTTCAAATCCAAGCTTTGTATTAGCATTACTGCAAAACATTCATATAATCAATACGAATATGTGTATTAGGCATGGCATCCCAATACTAAATAGTTTCTGGACTTACCACGTTGCTCTGAAAAGACCTGCAAAATGTAAAACACTGAATCTGAGCAACAACAAATTTACCGCATATTTCTGTGGGGAGATCGGATCAACCTACGTAACTGATCACCTGACCTCCATATATGTAAACTGTTTTAAGAACGCGCCACTCAACAAAAAGTGCAATTTATTACCATATCCCACTACAGTCTGTTCAGTAGTGCTTCTCCTGCAAATAATCTTTCATTTTGTTTGGTAAAGGCAGTTTCTGAATCAAATCTATCCGCGTGTACTGTCGGATGACAAAGCGGCAAAGATATTGCAGCGAACGCACTTGCATGAACCGCGACACGGGATTGGTCAGCCGAACGGGGTACATGGCAGACCCCGGCAGACGGGATCTGGAGTAACAGAACGCGCCGTTTTCAGAGTCTTTTATAGAGTGCTCGATGAGATCTACGATGGAAGTGTGACCTTCTACGTCGGGCTGCTCGTAAAAGCTGAATCTGCCGTTCGAGTGTTCGATCCTGGTGTGAAGCGTCTTTCCCTGTGACCGAAAGCTCAGGCTGAGGAGATAGCGATCGTCTGAACTGTCCCTCACCAAAAAAGAGCCGTCTGGAAGGTTGATGAGCTTCTCCTCAGCCTCCCATCGAGTTATAGGTCCCCAGTACCAACCCTGCTTGGCCAGTTTTTTAAGTTCCTCTGTAAGGCTTGTTACAACCATGGGTCCGCTGCTTTGGAAAGAATCATAAAAAGAGCCATCTGGAAGGTTGATGAGCTTCTCCTCGGCCTCCCATCGAGTTATAGGTCCCCAGTACCAACCCTGCTTGGCCAGTTTTTTAAGTTCCTCTGTAAGGCTTGTTACAACCATGGGTCCGCTGCTTTGGAAAGAATCATACACCCTGCTAACACCGGGAGCGGAATTAGGGTCAAAGTTCAGGTGGTGCCTCACTCTCTCGACAACATGAGAGTCTGCACCACTGAACCCGGAGAGGGTCCTTGAAATATCGTTGCTGGAAAGAGGTGACAGGGAGGGAGAAAATAAAGGTGTGTCGGCTCTGGAGTTGGAATAGATAAGACCCCTATTCTTCAGCTGAGATTGTGTAGAGCCTTTTGAAGCTGCTCTGAAACTGCCATTTGGACCTTCAGCCCGTTGGCCACCATTGCAGGGCTCCAGGCAAAAAAATTGAGTAAGGAGCCATTGGCTCCTATAAGAAAAAAATATATATTTTTTAGGTTCCACAGAATAAACGTGTTTTATTTATTTTATTTTTTATTTTTTACATTTTAACATTTCAGTCAAACTGTTATGTGTTTATGTCTAATCTTTTCTTGACTTTATCAGCATTTTAATCCATCTTGTAGATGACCTGGGAACTAAGGTTCACTTAAAGTGGGAACTAAATGTTTTTTCCAACTATTGAAATATACAGTCACAAAGAATTGTTCATTACACAGAATCTGTACCAATATCGTGGACCATAAGCATCACTTGGCCACTGAGTGTAGTTTGTAGTTTGGGCTCCTCCTCAATGCATCCTGTAATTGTTGTCATACACTCTTAAAAATAAATGTGAAGAACCTTTTTTGTCTAAATGGTTTCATAAAGAACCTTTAACATCTGAAGAACCTTTACGTTTCACAAAAGGTCCTTTGTTGCGAAAGAAGATTATAAAAAGTTGAGAAAGAGATGGTTCTTTAAAGAACCTTTGACTGAATGGTT